TAATGGGAAGTTATTGGCATTCCTAATCAAGGTTATTACACAACTCTGAGTCTTTGAAAACAAATGTCCCCTTTTGAAAATGATAGACTGAAAGAGAAAGTTAATTCTAAATCCCCAAATCCTTTATTGTTAAGGGCAAAGCTCACGAGTGAACATTAAGTTTTACATAAGAGAAAACTTGAAATATGAACTCAATGAACAGAAGAAAACTTAAGGAAGGGGCTGGGGTATAGCCCAGGTGGTAGAGTGCTTGCCTCTTGTGTATAGTGCTCTGGGTTCAATCCCCAGGATCACAAAAAAAAGAAAAACCAAGGAAGTTCCCAACAGAGAGGAAGAAAAAACACAAAGTCTAGATTCAAATGCTAGATTTGAGAGGGAAGGGAAAGAGGGGGTTCAAGGAGAGATGGATGGAAATAGAATGGAAGATGGAGCAAATAGTTTACCACATGAAACTAGGATTTTCATTACATTTTATGAATGTATACTCATGTCACCAGCCTCTGGACCTTTTGGTGGTTAAACACACACACACACACACACACACACACACACAATTTTGAATCTGTTCTGTCTACCTGCTGAATTAACCAACCTTATAATACCTCTAGATTTCTTATAATGTGGAATGTAATCTTCATTTTTATTTTTTATACTAGAGATTGAACTCAGGATTGCTTTACCACTGAATTATATTCCAGCCCCTTTTACTTCTTATTTTGAGAGAAGGTCTCGCTAAGTTGCTGGCCTTGACATTGCAATTCTCTTGCCTCAGCCCCTGGAGTTGCTGGGATTATAGATGTGCACCACTATACCCAGCCATACTCTTCATTTTAAAAAATACACACTTTGAGGGGCTGGGGTTATAGCTACCAAGTCTGGTAGAGCGCTTGCCTTGTATAGGAGGCACACGGCTCAATCCCCACCACCACATAAAAATAAATAAAGATACTATGTCCATCTCTAAAAAAAATCTTTAAAAAAATTCACTGAGTATTTTATCACAGTTGAAAGAGACATTTATTTAATGCCTTTATTAATCAATTAAAATAACTGACCTAAAATGAAAACCTGAAAATGAGCAGTTGTGCAGTTTAAAAATGCCTAAATTTTAGTCATGGTATTTAACTGTATTCAGTCTAAAGAAAGAATATATTAAGTCATTAAAGTGTGACCCCTTCCATATCTATCCACCCAGCTCAATTAACTCTTGGCAATAGGGACTAAAGAATGTCCTTTGAGCACCTGCAGGTTAAGAGGCAACAGAAGAAAGCTGTTAGCAACACAGAAACTAATGCCAACAGAATTGTGACAGAGGAAGGACATGTTTTTTGTCTCCAGTTCTTTCGTACATGACTCAGGAGTCAGTACGAAGAATTTATCTAAATTGTTGCCTTCGAATCTATGGGCTCAGCATCCAAAATCACCCCTTTCTAATTTCTTACCAGAGCTGTCCACATAATTGCAGGAAAACACCTGTTGCAAAATTAGGTTGTTGAAGCAACATCGAGCCAGGTCCAACAAATCTGTGAGGTAGGCTAAAGCCCACTCCCACTACTTGACAGAAGAAACAATTTGGCATTGGGGACCCAAAACAACGATTTCTAAACTCCTGCAAACCACTCAGAAACAAAACAAAACAAAAACACTATATAGAGAGGTATCCTCACAATTTGTATTGCTAGATTTGGATTTTCATACTATAAATTGCTTTGAAATGAATTTATACTTTGTACTGGATTATGTACTAATTTCTTAGACTTCCTATTTTTAAAGGAATATGACCTTTTACTAATTTAACTGCTCAATTTTTTGCTTTTATATGTGCTCTTTCAGGCAACAAGATCACAAACCTTTCTTTTCAAGGGTAAGCCTAGAGCTTTGCAGCCGGGACTTGACAATGATTAAGATAAATAAGTGTAATAAAACATGAAAAGCAGTAGCAAATTATGAACAACATAGGTAGTTGCTTACTGAACATTTAAAAAAAAAACTCCATTATTATGAAAGGTTAATAAAATAGGTACTTGTCACTCCGTTTTTCTATATGCTTAACAAAACACTGTTGAAATCTTAATAACTGTTTGCTAATCTTGTTCCCAGAATGTGCTGTCCCCAACTGTGAACTGTTTGCTAATCTTGTTCCCAGAATGAGCTGTCCCCAAACTACAAAATGTAACTTCTCTCCCTGCCCTCTCCAAGGAAAGTATATAAGCTCTGCTTAAGCTGTTCTCAGGGCTCTATCTCTCTTTGCTATAGTGAGCTCTGAGCCCCAGCATGCTGGTCTCCAAATAAACCCTCCCTTCTGCTGTTGCAAGACAGTCTCTTATGGTCTCTTCCTCCCACGTTTCGCCAGACCCTTACAATTAGCAATAAAAACAGTAATAATTGTAGCTATTATTATAGAGAAAATATATTACAGCTTCTCCTTTTTCTGGTAACTTATTTTCCCTGTGTGTAAAAGCAATCCCAGAATGCTTACTCTAAATGGGGCTATCCAAGACCACCAATTTTGTTTTGTTTTGGGTACAGAGATTGAGCCCAGGGGCACTTAATCACTGAGTGGCATCCCCAGCCCTTTTAAAACGTTTCATTTAGAGAACAGGGTCTCGCTGAATTGCTAAGGCTGGCTTTGAATTGTTTTGAAGGCGTGCGCCACCACCCCCAGCAACACCAGTTTTTTAAATATTGAAATATATGCGGGTATAGAACACCAAGCAAACATAGGTACTATGAACAGGAGACCCTTCTTTTTTAGAGCATTATTATAAACCTGTAACTTCATCATTTGCATATTCAATATAATAGCCCTAGCTGAGGTATTCATGGGCCTTAAAGGCCTCTAGGGAAGTTACAAAGTCCCCCAATAAAAGCTTACACAGCTGAACACCTGCAGAGACACCCAGATTGCATGACTGCACAAGCACTGCCTCCCCTACTCTCACTACAGCCCCACAGAGGGGCGGGGCCCAGAGCCGGAAGGGGCGGGACCATGACCGGTCCCTAAGAGCTGTGCGGTTTCGCAGCTCTTCCTTTTCCGCGCAGCCGCGGAGAATGGGAGGTGTGCTTTCGCCATGGAGGCCGGTGGTGAAGGAGCCTGTGGGCCCGGTGCCCGGTTCTTCGAGGTGAGAGTCCTCGGGATCTTAGTCTCTCCTCTCTTCCGTACCAAGTTCCTCCGCCCTGTGGGTGCCGACCGCGTCGGTGCTTTACCCTAGAGCACCGGGTATTCTGCGGCCGCGGGCTGGGCGCAGGAGGTAACGCTCCTCCCTGTGGACGTGGCCTGGAGAGTCCCCTTCATGCGGTTCGCGTAGTTGCGTTTTATAAGTAACTACTTGCGGGCCTTAATTGATCTTATTCCACAGTAAACACCGGTTTCGAAGGGTCTTCTGTGACAGGGGAGAGCTGAGGAAGGAACGTCCTGCGGCTTCGTAACCCCCCACTCCCCCTCCCCCGCACCTTCGCCCGAATCCCCTTAGTCACCAGCAAAGCTCGACTTTGGAGGTTTCAGGCTCCCTTGAGTGGGTTTCATTTTCCTTAAGGGGGCATTTTATAAGGATTATTTTCTTTTAAATGCTAAAGACACTTAACCGTACAAAATCGAGGGGTTTGGAAAAAGCAGTAAGCGCCGCTTAACCACTGATCTCAACGTATTTGTAGAATTCTGGCATTTGTTCATGAATCGCCCTTGTAAATATAAAAGGCTTTGAAGCTGGATAACAGAACGTGGAAGTATGGAAGGCCTTTGGGCCAAAAATGCCTACTGTACACATAGATCTTGTGTTTACATGGAAATGTGTGTTTCTGGACATTACACAGAAGATTCCAGTCTACAGCTGGGAGATTAGGAAAAAACATGTTACCTCTTTAAAAAGCTAAATATTCATAAACATATCCCACTAGTTGCTGTTTGCTTCCTGCCTTCCACCCACAGGTACTCACCATCTGGAATTTTGTGAGTCTGGGGTGTTTTATTGTTTGAGGGAGTGATGAAGATTGCAGTTTCGTTAATAACATGCATTTCTAGATCTTCGCTAAGTTTTAAAAATGCATGTAGTTACCTACTCTTTGTAAATTAAACAATTTTTCATTTTGGAACTATTCTTTACCAAGTTTATATTGTTTTCCTCATATTGATTGTGTGAAACAAAGACTTGAAATTGATAAATTGTTTTGCAAGTTCCAGTTTTACATGTCTTCATAAATCATTTCCAGTAGCTGACTGGTTCAGTGATTTATCCTCTTGGGGTGCTGTAGGACATGATTTGTGACTCTGGCCACTGAAAGTGCACTAAGTAGTCACTAAGTGGTGAAGGAGCCTGTGGGCCCGGTGCCCGGTTCTTCGAGGTGACTTAGTGACTACTTAGTGCACTTTCAGTCAACTTGCCAACATAGGTATCCTTGCCCTAAAACTACTAGATTTGCCATTGTAATGTTTTTAGATGAAGGTCTGCACACTTTTTTTCTGTACATCTAACCTTTACCCTTGCTCATAGTTCATCCTGTCAAGCTTTGAGACAGAAAAGCAATGGCTTTGATACTCACAAGAGTCCATCCTGTCTTAAAATCAATACTACTGCCACAGTTATTAAAAAACAGTTTCTGCAGATTTTCCTGCCCTTGCTAATAACTCAACATTTTCTAGCTTGTAAAGAATCTGATTTATGGAATTATGACTTGAGAGCTAGTTTGTAAAATATGATTGTGTTTATGCTTCTGACAAGAATGAAATTCTCATTGGACTCTCACCACACATAAGGTGCCAAATAGAAGTATGAGAATTCACAATTGAATATTTTTGTTTCTAGGTACAACATCTAGTGGCACGAAGATGTATGAAGATGGTTGGAATAAATGCTCTTCAAAACTTGTCATAGAAGATGACTGAAGAAAATGAGTAGGACCACATTTGACATGTAACACGGTACCATAGTGTGTGCTTTTCTTTTTCTTTGTGATAGTCTAAGCCAAAATGTGTAATATATTCTTGACAGATCGATTTAACTGCTGGCACAGTGATGACAAATTTTTGCCGTTTACCCAGCTGAGGGTTTTCTTTGAAGAAATAATTTTAAGACTGAGGTGCCAGTAATATATATTGATTATGTGAATTACTGAAATATTAAACTGTTTTCGTTGAAATGAGTGAAATGTTCTTTCTCTTTCTCTTCTGCATATAGGCAGCTGTCAATGAATGCTCCAGTCCTTTTGATGTAGTGTTTAAAAATACATCCTTGCCTCAAGTAAGTGTGACTTCTCAATCACCACATCCTTTTTTCTTCTTATTCTCTTTTTTTTTTTTTTTTTTGTGGTGCTGGGGATTGAACCCAGGGTTTTGTGCATGCAAGCTCTACCAACTGAGCTAAATCCAGCCTCAAGCACCACATATTTTGATGACTCAGAAGCATTTGAACTCCAAAAGACTGGGACCAGTTTCTTTTTAAGTTGCCTTTGCATATCTGGGGTGTTTTCCTTTTCTCAGCATTAATTTTTTTTTTTTTTTTTTTTTGAGGATATTGAGCTTGAGTTTCTGAATTTGGGTAAAAGTGATTTTCACTGCTGCTTTCTTATTTTCCAGAGGTGTGGCATGCAACATTGTGAAAGGAAAAAAAAAAGAATTTATGAAGAAAACACATAGAAACAAACTATGAAATTTTTATTTGATATTAATAAACAATAAATTATGTGGTAAAATACATGTGTGGCAATTTTTAATTGCTCTTGGCAATATTGTTTTCTTTTTAAATAGTTTTTTTCTCCCAGTCATTCATCAGTTCTGTTTTTTAACATACTTTGATATAGTTCTTGTTAATTAAGTAGCTCATCCTTGGATAGTGACTGTCACTGTAGGCAGCTGGGAAGATAGTAATGGCTATGATGCCTGAAAAATGGCTGATTGGAATCTTCTAAACTCCTTTAGTGCTAAATAGCAATTAAGCTGTCTTTTATATAAGTTAAAAATTGCTTTTTTTCCCTATAAGCTGAGACTGTTGTATTGATCTAAGGTAACAGTATGGCTTTGCCTCACCCCACAGAGCCAGAAAAGTGAAATATAGTACATGAAAAGGCACAAAACAAGGCTCTTAGTTAGCAACAGTATTATATATTTTGTTGAAAACTAGCTTTACCTACTGAAAACATTGTATATTGCTGGCACTGGTTGGTATTCAATCATAGTGAATGGCCTTCCTATAGTGTGTTAGGGAGCCCTCCAGCTGTATGGTTAAGTAAGCTCTGGATTGTGAGATTTTGGATTTAGTTTTTTTTTTTTTTTCAATTTGTTGTAGTTGTAGATGGACAGCATGCCCTTATCTATCTATCTATTTTAATGAAGTGCTTAGGTTGGAACCAATGCCTCACCTGTGCTAGGCAAACGCTCTGCCAGCGAGCCACAACCCCAGCCCTGGATTGTCAGTTTCGAAGAATCAGATCTTGGTTAATAAGGTGGCTCTTGGTGTGTTCATTCTTCATTCTTTGAGTAGAAATAATTTTTCTTAGGGGGTGGGTATTGGGGATTGAACTCTGGGGCACTTGGCCACAGAACCACATCCCCAGCCCTATTTTGTATTTAGAGACAAGGGTCTCACTGAGTTCCTTAGCACCTCACTTTTGCTAAAGCTGGCTTTGAACTTTCAATCCTGCCTCAACTTCCTGAGCTGCTTGGAGGTGTGCACCCACCAAGTAGAAGTAATTAGAACTGAAAAGGATTGGAGGATTTTATTGTCCCTACTTATTCAGAGCAAAATGAGTAGCAGTTACTGAAGTTGAGGGCCAGCCTGGGTGACAAGAAGACCTTGACCCCAAAACCAAAATGGTCAAAGAATGTACTCTCAATGCCAGGCTGCTGACAAACAGGAGGATTATGTCTTCTGGTATTTGAGGTCAGCCTAGACAGTGAGACATGCCCTCACTTCAACAATACATAAAAATGAAGAATGGGTTTGCATATTGGTTTCATTGCATTAGGGAACCTTCAAGTTAGAGGCAAACTTGTTCTCTGGTTACATTTTTTTTTTTTTTTATCACAGTTGTTTATATATAGAAATTTCAAAGGCTTTTCTGACTCCAAATTTAGGGCTTCTAAAACAATGTTCATGTAATGCATATGTGTATAAGCTGAAAATGCCTTAATTAAAAATTTTTTTTAGTTGTTGATGGACCTTTATGTGTGGTACTGAGACTCAAACCCAGTGCCTTATGCATGCTAGGCAAGCGCCCTACTACTGAGCTACAACCCCAGCCCTGAAAAGGCCTTAAGTTTGAAGCTTCAGGTTATACAAATTAGTTAATCAATTCGCCAGGTTCACAAGTATAAGGAAAAAATGGCTTAAAAATTTGTAGGGGGCGCTGGGATTGTGGCTCAGTGGTAGAGTGCTTGCCCTGTACATGTGGGGCACTGGGTTCGATCCTCAGCACCACATAAAAATAAAGATATTTTATGCAACTACAACTAAAAATATTTAAAAAAATAAAAATTACAAGCAAATAATATTTAAAAAAAAAATTTGTAGGGGGCTGGGGGTTGTGGTTCAGTGGTAGAGCGCTCACCCAGCACGTGCGAGGCCCTGGGTTCGATCCTCAGCACCGCATAAAAATAAATAAAGGTATTGTGTCCAACTACAACTGAAAAAATATTTTTAAAAAATTTTGTAAATAAGGTTATTGCTATCTTATGACAAATAGAGTGAATTCCAGGTTAACCATTTTTCACATTGTAAGGTTCTTTTTTTTTTTATCACATACACTGGGCTAACCAGAAACTTAGGATTCTCTTTGGTGACTTCATCATCTTAATCATCCACATTTCTCTCCTAAAATTTGAAATTTTGGTAATTTGTTTTAGAAGTTTGGATTAGTGTATATCCCAGTAGCAGTTGATTTTTGTGGAGACCATGGTTTGTTTTTTAAATGGCATTCTGATGTACTCCTCTATACAGTACTATCTGAAGCATTACTTTAAAGTTACTCGAATACACTCTCCCATTGCTGAAGTTGAAATCAAAAGGAAATTTTTCTCAAATTGCTTATTCATCGTTAGTGAAAACAGCTGTTCCAGGTCCATATGTGGCAATAAACTGTTGGAGCTGTTTCTGGCACTGAGTCAGATAGAGATCCCTTTGTTGTAAGTACTCTTCATTGTACAGTTCAAAGGGAAATACTGCATTTGGAGCAACACAAAATACAGTGGCCCCTAAATGAAGAAGGAAATATAGTATAAATGAGAAATATTCCTTAAAATGCTAAATAATAACAATTCATTTTTCAGCTGAAATGGTGAAAGTTTTTAATACATTTTTTAGATGTTGATGAACTGTAATTTTATTCATTTATTTATATGCAGTGCTCAGAATCAAACCCAGTGCCTCTCATGTTCTAGGCAAGCACTTTAATCATTGAAATCTTGTTTTTTTGAGTACCAACATGATGCACTGGAGAATAAACAGAAGCCCCAAATCTACAAACCTACCTGATTATCCATTTTCTTTTCAAATTGAACAAGTGACCTGTATTGAGTCTAGTTCCTTAATGTGCTCTGGATCTGACTGATCCCTCTCCTATTTTTTAAGGATTTAATTCCTTCAATTTCATCCTACCCCCAACATCCTTTTTTTTTTTTTTAAGTTTTTTTTTCTATTTTGGTACCAGAGTTGAACTCAGGGGTGCTTAGCCACTGAGTCATCCCCAACCCTCTCCCCCTTTAAAAAATTTTTTTGAGACACAGTCTTACTAGGTTGCTTACAGTCTCACTAAATTGCTAAAGTTGGTTTTGAATTTGAGATTCTGCCTCAGCCTCCCAAGCTGCTGGAATTATAGGTGTACACCATCATGCATGGATGGAGTCTTGCTATGTTGTTTAGCATGGTCTTATACTAAGGGTGTGTACCACCAAGCCTCGCATTGCCATCTTTGTAGTATTACTGTATATCATATGATTTAATACCTTATGTGTTAAAAAGATAATAATCCCTTTTCAGACCCCACATTCTTCTTCAGTTAATGCTCAGTTTCTTTACTTATCTTCATAGTCAGCATCTCAAAGTTGCTTACAGCTCTCTAAATAGTTTTGATCATGGCCACCCACCAACCTCTGGATTATCAAATCTTAATAGGCTATGATACAATTGGCCAATCTGTTCCCTTTGGAAGCCCTCTTTCGGCTTCTGTAACACACTTCATTTTCTTCCTACATTCTAGCTACTGGTTCTATCTTTGTTCACCTTCGTCGACCCCATTTCTGAATATTGGAATTCACTTTAGTCCCTCTAAGGTGATTTCATCCACTTCTTGGCTTTGAATACCATCTCTATGCTGATGGTTGCTAAATTATATTTCTAGGTTAGAACTGTCCTAAGTTCCAGTTTGTGTACTGATTTCTCTGTAGAATATCACAAATTTACTATAATTTGATTTTTCTCCCAATCTGTTTTATTCCCAGTCTTGGTACCTGGTTGCTCAAGGCAGAAATTTAGGAATTTTCCTTAATTCCTCCCTTTCCCTCCCTCTACTCCTGCACCCAAGTCTAGCTGTAGTTCATGAGCAAAACCTATTGTTTTTTTGTATCCAAAATGTATCTCTAACCCAATACTTTCCATTTCTACTGCTTCCACCTAATCAAAGCTCCTATTATCAATTACCTGGACTATGACAATTTCCTAACATCTTTTTCCACCCTTTACCCTCTCCAATCCATTCTTTAGATCCAATATAGACAATGATAGTTATATATAATTGATCATATTAGGTTTCTGTTTCCTGTTATACTTGGAATAGAAACCCAATTTTCTACCACAAGTGTGTGAGGCTTTACAGTAACTAGTCCTAGCCTGGCCCTCTTTCATTTTCTTGAAAAGTACCTACACAATATGGTTTCCCTCTATCTGGATTTCTCATCCTTCAAGTTAAATAACTATTACCTCCTTAAAGATGTCACCCTAAAATCCAGTCAAAATCAGTCCCTTTTATTTATTTTATTTTATTGTTTTTAGAGAGAATTTTAATATATATATATATATTAGTTTTCGGCGGACACAACATCTTTTGTTTGTATGTGGTGCTGAGGATCGAACCCGGGCCGCACGCATGCCAGGCGAGCGCGCTACCGCTTGAGCCACATCCCTAGCCCCTCCCTTTTATCATTTTTTAAAAAAAAATTTTAGTTGTAGATGGACACGATATCTCTGTTTTTTTGTTTGTTTATTTTTATATCATGCTGAGGATTGAACCCAGTGCCTCATACTTGCTAGGTGAGTGCTCTACCACTGAGCCACAACCCCAGTCCCCCTTTTATTATTCTTGCTTATAACAGCCTGTATATTTTCCTCATAACATCCACCTCAATTTGTATTATATATTAGTATATTTACATTTTTTATAAATTTTTTTTGTAATTGTAGATGGACAGTATGCCTTTATTTTGTTTATTTTTTAATGCAGTGCTGAGGATCAAACTCAGTGCCTCACACGTGCTAGGCAAGAACTCTGCCACTGAGCTACAGCCCCAATCCCAGTATATTAACTTTAATATCTGTTCTCTCACTAGGCTGTAGACTACAACTGAGTATAGACTGTCTATTTTTTCACCACTGTATATCAGGGACCTATTACCTTGTTGTCAATCAAATATTTGTTGAGGGGCAAGGGTTGTGGCTCAATGGTAGAGCTCTTGCCTAGCATGTGTGAGGTACTGGGTTCTATCCTCGGCACCACATAAAAATAAACAAATAAAAAAATAAAAGTATTGTGTCCATCTAAAAATATTTTATACAGCTAGAAAAAATATTTAAAAAAATTGTTGCCAAGCACGGTGGCTCATGCCTGTAATCCCAGCATGGGAGGCTGACACAGGAGAAGTGCAAGTTCAAAGCCAGCTGAGGCAACAGTGAGGCACTAAAGTAATTCAGTGAGACCCTGTCTCTAAATAAAATACAAAATAGGGCTGGTGATGTGGTTCAGTGGTCAAGTACCCCTGAGTTCAATCCTTGGTACAAAAAAACAACAACAAAAATTGGTTGATGTACTGACTGCACAAAATAATTATGAATATTGAATTCATATAATGATAATTACAAAGCATAACAGCACATAATATACTAATTTTAATATATCAATCCTTAAATTTATCAGTTATCTCAAAATACCATCATAGTTTTACTTTATAGTATACAAATAATGTAAAAAGAGTAAATTAATAAGGTAACATACACTAGGAACACACGAGGAAACCCAAGTGTGGCTTTGTATAAAGACTGCCTATTCTCATTCTACCTAAGAAAATTATCCCTTGGAATCATTTTCCTCTGTGTTTAAAGTAATATTTAATAATCTCTTAACATTAAGATTTAAAATTATATATCCAACTGAAAGTCATAATGAAAACAAAAGTAAAATTTTTTTCACATAGTTTTGATTCCTTCAAATGCTTTTTTTTTTTTTTTTAATTTTTTAGTTGTCAATAAACCTAAGATTTTACTTATATGCGGAGCTAAGAATGAAACCCAGTGCCTCACACATGCTAGGCAAGTGGTCTACCACTGAGCCACCAAACCAGCCCCTTCATGGAAGTCTGGGTTTTTAAAAAATATTTTAGTTGTAGTTGGACACAATATCTTTATTTTATTTTTATGTGGTGCTGAGGATTGAACCCAGGGCCTCACGTGTGCTAGACGAGCACTCTACTGCTGAGTCATAACTCCAGCTCCTTCATGGAAGTCTTGACAAAATAGTCACAAAGTAAAATATTCTGTCATTCTACTACAGGAATTCTTAATATTATAAAATCATAGTTATTCAAACCTTAGTTTTTAAGTGTTTTTTTTTTTTCTTCCAAGAACTGAGTATTAAACCCAGGGTCCTGCACATGTTAGGCAAACACTCTACCACTGAGGTACATTTTCAGCCCTTTCAACCATCGTTTTTAAATTCACAGACTTACTTTTTTGTTTTGATTGTTTTCTTTTTGTATCAGGGATTGAACCCAGGGGCACTCAATCACTAAGCCAAATCTCCAGCCCTTTTTATATTTTATTTTGAGACAGGGTCTTGCTAAATTGCTTCGGGCCTCATGAACTCAAAATCCTCCTGTCTCATCCTTCTAAGCTGCTGGCATTTCCGGTATGCACCACCATACTTTTGTTTTATCACTGAAACTCAGATGTGATGTAACAGTTGATGGCAAAGTTTGTAGCATTTTTTCCCTTAATGATAGATAAAATAATGTTTCTTGGATTGATGAAATATTATCTTAAATAGAGATTAAAAGAAGAATGTAAAGATAAAGCAAATTAAAAATATTTACATATCCTTCCTATTATTTAGTATTGGTTGGGAACCAGTTTTTCTATCTTTTGGTTAATAAAACCAAATTCAGAATGATAGTCTTTCTGGCAGTCATGAATCTCTAAGGCACACTTAATAAAACTTAAAATCTCTTCCTAGAAAGGGGCACACATACCCAAATTTGTATATAACTTAAGGATCAGCAAGGCTCTAGGATTCCAAGCATCCATGGATCCCAGGTAAAGAATACTTGATTTAGGAGCTGGGATTGTGTCTCAGTGGTAGAGTACTTGCCTAGCATGTGTGAGGCACTGGGTTCAATTCTGAGTACCGCATATGAATACAGGAACAAAATAAAGGCCCATCAATGTCTAAAAAAATATTTTTAAAAAAGAATTTTGATTTAGACAATTATAGAACAGGTTGTAACATTTTAATGGATCTTTGGAATTAATTTGGAAATTAATGCAATATAAATATAATGTAAAGTAAATTTATGTTTGTTTATTTATTTTGGTATCAGGAATTGTATCCAGGGGTACTTAACCACTGAACTATATTCCCAGCCCTTCCTGTTTTTTATTTTGATATGGATCTTGCTAAGTTGCTGAGGCTGGTCTTGAACTTGATTGAAATCTTCCTGTCTCAGCCTCCTGAGTTGCTGGGATTATAGGACTTTCCACCATGCCCAGCTATTTAAAGCAAATTTGAACACTAAACATCCACAGCAAAGCTACTACTATTAATACTTTCAAGTCCCAGGACTGGAACAAAAATCTGGTTTGAAGCATTATATCTCTCATCACTATTAATATCTAATTCACAAAAACTTTGTGAGAATAACTTTACTCATCCTTAAGAGCTCTTTTGTAATTTTAAGAGCAAAAACATAGTAATTGCCATTCATTTCAAATGATTAAGTGCAGTAGTCAGTATTAAATTTTCCAATTCAGAGAAGGTGGTTCTTTTGGCTATGTGCCTAACTCCACTGTGGGGGACTGCTTGGCAAATGTTGCATGTTTTATTTATCTTATTATTTATTTTATTTATTATTTTTAAAATTAATTTTTGCAGTACTGGATTGAACCCAGGGACACTACCACTGAAGTACAGCCCTAGCCCTTTTTCTTTTTTTTATTTCTGAGACAGGGTCTGGCTAAATTTCGAAGGTTGGCCTCCAACTTTTTGATCCTTTTGCCTCAGGCTTGCCTCCCAAGTTGCTGGGATTACAGGCATGTGCCACCAAATCTGGTTTGTATATAAACTTAATTCATTTCATGTCTTGTATTAATAAGTACTCCTTCCCCCCTAGAATTCTTTAAGCAGCACCAAATTTCAAGTATTGATGCACTCATGCATAATAGGAACTAATGTTTAAAATATATTTAACAATTTAATAAATGAAGAATATTGAAGTTTAAATAAAATTTATCTGTAGAGATCATTAATAATTTAATACATTACCATATTTCAATGTGAGAGATGTTTCAAATAATAAAGCTGCAATTAGTACATCTTCTTTGAGCACTTTATTCCTTAAATTCAGTCGTGCATGGGCTTCAGATAAGGAAACTCTAAGAAACAAAATTGATGCCAGTAAAAATATGTTGATATTACAAAAATATATTTTGGTAGAAATAAACAAGACACATAAGAATATGACCACACAGATGAAAGAACAACATATTCTTTTTTTTTTAAACACTATGTTCTTTTTTTTTTATCTTTATTTTATTTTTATGTGGTGCTGAGAATCGAACCCAGTGCCTTACGCATGCTCGGCTACTACTTGAGCCACATCCGCAGCCCCAAGAACAACATATTCTTACTTTAAAAATTGTAGATCTTTTTAGAATATTTTAATAGACTATTATTTATAGACTATTCTAGGACAAGCAAGAATCCTCACTTACTATCAAAGAATGGTTTCTATCCTAGCTGCTCCTCATCATTCCACCCAACTACTACAACTTAAGTTCTGTTCAGATAAATATGTAGTTGGGAAAGTAAACCTAACTAAATATCTTTTAAGACACATCCTTAATGTTTTCATCTAGTTCTTCATCTATCTGATGTCTTGGTATAATCTTGCAATTTCAAAAGTGGAAAGGATCTCTGAGTTCAAATTTCAAATTTCTATCAGATAAGTGAATTTTCTCTAAAACATCCTGGACTACTCATTATCCAGTTTCTTATACTTCTAGCATTTACTGTTTCATGAGGCAATCTTTTCCTCTGTTTTTAAAAATTTAACCAGCTTCTATTATCTGGAAGATCTCCCTTAAGCTTTCATTAGATGATGTAATTAATATAACTGAATGACTCTTGGACTTGAGAATCAGAAAACCTATGCTGTTTCTCTAGAATTTTCTAGCCATGTGATTTTATATAAATTGACTCATGAGAATGTTTTGGAATTCAACTATAAAACAAGAATACTAAGTAAAGGCATTTGAAAGTTTTGCAACTAACCTACAAAGCTTACATACATCTAAAGTGAAATTGGTTTCAATGCAATTGTCCCTGGTCTCTTATTCTATCTTTTTAAACTATAGAATAAGCATAATACCTCTCACATGTGATGGCCCTTCAAATATTCATGTAACTGGGCTGGGGCTGTTACTCAGTGGTAGTGTGCACTTGTCTGGGATGTGTGAGGCTCTGGGTTTGATTCTCAGCACCACATATAAATAAAACTCTTTTTAAATATGATATGTCAAGAGCATTGTAATGTTTTGAGCAACCAATAAAAAAGGTCTATCAACAAAAAAAATATTTTAAAAATATTCATGTAACTTTTGTAGTTGCCCCATGTTTTCTTTTTTCCAAGTTATATATTCCTAGTACCTTTACTATGTCATAAGGGTTTGAGTTGTAGCTCAGTAGTAGAGTAGGGTTTGATCCCCAGTGTCAGGAAAATAATGAAAAAAATAGTAAGTCATGAGACATAATTTTCAGCCCTTCACCATCCTGGCTACCCTCCTTGTGAGGAAACAGGACTTTTAGAAGTTTA